TTGTATCTATTTTTTTACTGTTATTTAAATGTAAAACAGTTGAATGTAATTATTTTTTTTCAAATAAAAAATCAATTTTGGTTATCTCTGTCTAATACGCAACGCGCAGGAAAGGAAAAAAAAATTTTTTTTTGACCTACTTTTCCACATAGGCGCCATCTCATTTGGCTTAGGGCTTGCCATTTGCCCTTAGGCGCCAAATGAGATGGCGCCTCCCTTATAAAAATAGGAGGATGCGCCAAATGAGATGGCTCCTCCTTTATGGAGCCATCTCAAACATGGTTATTTGCGTAATTTTTTCCGAAACCCGGTTATTTGCGAAATATTTTTTTAATACTTGGTTATTAATAAAAAAAATTCAGAAAAATAGGGTTAGTATTTTAGAATATATTTAATTAATAAATAACTATTTTTTCTAATTATTAAAAATATACTAAATATTTTTAATTAAAAAAATCCAACAATCATTTATTAATAGTTTTTATGCAAGAAAATATTTTAATGCAAATTATGCTAAAAAAGTGATTATGTGACAAAAATAAAATAAAGAGAGTAAGAAAATAACATAATTAAAATTAATTAACTTAGGCTCATGGGGTGTAAAAATGAAATTGGGTGGGGTATTTATTCAGGCCCAAATGTACATCTAAGCCCAATTAGCTAGGGGGTACGAATTATTGTTGAGTAGCAAAAATATGAGGTATAAATAATACGGACCCAAGTTCAGAAATTGAACTTGGCCCAATTGTGTAGGGAGGGGTGTACAATTAGTTTGGTAGTAATTTCTGAGGCCTGAGTGGCATTGGGTTTGAGGTCCAATTTATTTCTAAATAAATCTAATTAACTTCTATAAGGTAAGCAATTAAATAAATATAATTAAGTTCTATAATAATAATGTAAAAATAACAAACAAAAACTAAAATTAAAAATAACTTACAAATTGAGAGGAAATGGGTGTATGTTCTTAAGCCATTGTCTATTCAAGACAATGATCCAAATATTGTTGACAATTGTTAATTCTCCAAATGATTATTGATTCTCCAAATGATTGTTGATTGACAAATTTTAGGTGTTCTGTTCAAAACCCTAAAATTAACCAAAAGAATTGCGTAGAAAGAATGTTTGTGAGAGAGAGATAGAAACTTGTTGATGTGATTGTTGATCTCCAAATAATTGTTGGTGGAGACTTCGAGATTTCTTTGTTGTTGTTCTTCGATGTGAAGAATAACAACTTTTAGGAGAACTCTAGTAGTTGTTGATCTGCAAACGATTATTGATTCTCTAAATGGTTGCTGATGAAAATTTTAGGGTGAAGAGAGCCCTATTTATGGGTTTGAAATTAGGTTAAAGACACTCCAAAAAGGAAATAGTCAACACTAAGAAAAGTCCAAAGTTTACGATTTTATATTTGGGTAGCAAGTCTACAAACTCTGACCAATGAGAAATCAGTTTTGTCAACATGTGACCAATCAGAAAGTGACAAATCATGTGATTTTGTTGTTTTTATATTTTATATGATTTTTTGGTTATTTTTTAATTAAAAATTGAAAAATTGAAGAAAAAAACTATTTTTGAAAATTTATTAATTAAAAAATACAAAATTAATAATTTAATAATTAAAAAAAGTGATTTTTTGGGAAGATTTATACCAATTGAGACTTGATTGAGACTTGGAGGACAAGATTATGAACTTATACACTTTTGTGTCTTTTTCTAAATATTGTGATTGATTTCACAATTAATAAAAGTTGATTTTGAAAGATTTCAATTATTTTTAATACATTGACTATTAAGTGTATAAAATCAAAGATTTCAAAAATTAAAAAAATAATTTTAAAATATCCTTAAAATAGAAAACAAAAATAATAATAAAATAATTGAAAAATGACTTTTTTTTATCCTTTTTATTATAAAAAATCACACAAAAGAATATAAATATCAAAAAGTAGTGTAATGAAACTTGAACTCAAGACCTTCCACTTGGAAGTCTGACTCCCTTACCAACTGTGATATGTCATTCTATTCAAGACAAAAAGGCTCATAGAAGCATATGAAGGTGGAAAAATATTTTGCTATTTTAAAAATATAAATAATTTAAAGTAAATTATTATATAATTTAAATAAGCAAAAATAAATTATTGTTAAACCAAATGTGAGTAATACCCAAAAAATGTATGAAACAAAGTTTTAAAATAATTTGAATATTTTAAAAATGGGGCGGGAAAATTTGGGATATGACAATTACAAATAATAGAAAAAACACAAAGATAAAGTTGATCTCCCCTTAAGCAGACCTTAAGGGACTCGCCCTCCAAGGAACATGGCTTTACAAATCTCACCTTAAGAGGCATATATGCATGAACTCCATATGATATTGACTAAGGTCGCCCTAAGTGGCGATATGATTGTTGGACATTCAATAAATGTTATTTTTTTGCCTTATCCCGCAACTTACTATTGAACTCCTTGCCAAAGCAGATTCAACACGCCCAAGGGAAATATAGATGAATACGCCTTAAATAACAAAAGTAAATTACAAAGAAATACAAAATAATGCTTATTGGTACGAGTTCTAAATGTTTCCATCAGTAAACATACCGCCAAATTCATAAATAATATCTTTAAAGGACCCAGAGGGGCGATGTTGCAAAAACCCTCCAGCAGGGTAACAAAACAGATAACACAAAGGCAAATGCCTTAAGAGTAGAACATACTGAAACAACTTAAAGTATCACTTGAGGAACTCACATTAAAGTCTTGCTTAAGAGACTCAACTTAAAGTCTCGTAGAGACTCAACTTAAAGTCTCTCCTGAGGGGCTCAACTTAAAGTATCATATTAGGAACCCAACTTAAAGTCTCGATTGGGGACTTAACATAAAGTCTCTCCAAAAAAAATCAACTTAAAGTCATACTTGAGGGGCTCGACTTAAAGTATCACCTGAGGGACTCAACTTAACGTCTCGCCTGAGAGAATTAATATAAGCCCTCATCAAGAAAAGTCTACTCAGGATGGATTCGTACAAAGAAGTATTGAAGTTGTGAGCACTCTTATTAATCACTTCGTCCTTTTCAAGCAATCGTGCTTAATGGACTATGTAATGGTATAATCTTATTAAGCCTTAAGAAGGGGTGTATCATACATAAAATTAACTAAAGCTAACACACGAGCGATCTATTGCCAATATGACTTCCATGGCCTAAATAGAGAGAGAGAGAGAGAGAGAGAGAGAGAGAGAGACCTAGGTTGACTGCAAAATAACTTTTTCACTCACCATGATTGTTTTCGAAAAGACCACAACAAGTAGAGAGACCAGGGCTCCCTAAAGCAAAGTCATCACTCTTATGTTTCACTCACTAAAAAACATAAGAGGCTGTCAGATTACTTCCACGATTTTGGGGGCCTTTGTATGATGAGTTGTGACTTTGAAGGCTTTTAGGACCACAAAATCATACATTGAAGAGCTAGTGACTTCTTTAGTGAGATTACCCAAGAGTTGCACATTTGTAGCAATAGTGGAAATAACATTCTAAAGATTAGGTTTAATTTTATTGAGTCTAGAATTGTTTCTAATATGCCAAATACTTAACATGTTGACTATTGTTGACCATCGAACTAGCTTGCATTGGGGACTTCAATTCCTATTACATGCCTATTTACACATTGTGTAAATATTAAATCCACATATAATCAATTAAAGATGCGTATATAAAATTAATGAGCATAATTTAAAAAATAAATTACTCATTTCGTCTCTAAATATAAACTAACTTTTATATTTGTCATTTTTTATCATGAAACTCTTTTTTTTTTTAATCTGCATATTCTTTAATTATTTTTAACAAAACTATCATATATAATTTATATTGGGAAACACAATTTTGTCTTCTCACTCATAATGCACCGTTAACCATACATATAACTATATATATATATATATATATATATATATATATATATATATATATATATATATATATATATATATATATATATATATATATATATATATATATATATATATATATATATATATATATATATATATATATATATATATATATATATATATATATATATATATATATATATATATATATATATATATATATATATACTCTTCCATTTTTTTTTATTTTTTTTTACTATAACTCGTTTTACCATTTTCATATATAATATGAAATATAATACTAAATTATAAGTTTGGTCTCTATTTTACTCAATTCACAAAATTAATCCCTATATTTCAATTTTAAACACTTTTTGTCTCACATCCCCGATTTTTCTCCAAAAATCGCTTATGTATATTTTTTTTGGTCATATTTTGTATGATGTGGCATAAGAAAAAAGAAATTTTTTCTATTTCATTTTTTTTCATTATTAATTTATTAATTAAATTTAAACCACTTAAAACAAAAAATTTAAATGGATTATGAGACTTAAATGAGGTCAGAAAGAAACAAAGTGCAACTAGACGAAAAAATACAGTGAGACAAACATGAATGGACGAACAAAGAATCGAAGGAAGAATGAAGATGGATCATTGATAAACGTAACAAGAAGATAATTTTTGAGACATTAATCTCACCAATTTAGTTTCCAGGTCATACAAGTAATTTATGAATCTTTTGGTTAGGAAATTTGAAAACCCTAACTTTCATTTCAACGGCAAAAATTTCTTACTCTCATGGAGCATCTTCGTCTTGGACTAAGGAAGATACCAAGTTTTGTTCTATGTGTGTTAATTATTGAGTCTGAACTGAATATGTGTTATTTTGAAATTTTAAATGCACTTGAACTGAAATGAAGATGTATTGTTTTGAAATGTTACATGCAAGTGAAATTAGACTGAAAATCATGAGGGAAATTCAATTCATTATCCTGAAATATTTAAGTAAATGAAAAGGTAGATAAAATTAATTGGGAATGAATGTGGATTTTATGTCATATATGGAGATTTTCAACATTATCAACAAATTGAGTTATGTAAGAATTATATGCATGTGGTATCATAATCCAAAGTTTTCATTTGAGCACGGGCTTAAACCTCTTAATAATGGTAATGATGATTTTAGAGATAATGAGAGGGAAGAAGTGCATGTTAAGTCGAGGGAAGAAATTCATGTTGAGGAGAGTGAATATGTTAGCGAGGAAGATGAAGATTTTGTGCAAGATGATAATGATGATTTTAGGGATAGTGAATTCAATGACTTAGATGAAGATGATTAAGATTGGACATATGAAGTACCTAGACATGCATTTATGAAAGAAAAAAATGATGCAAACCAAGTCTTTTCAAAGAAACAGCCGATAATAATATTTAATTTTGAACCATATGACCTTGATACTCCCCCAGGAAGTGAAAATGAAGGTGATGAATATGAGTATTCCAAATTTAAAATGTATGACTACAGTGATGAGGTGAGACTTGATCTTGGAATGAAATTTTCCATAAAGAGTATTATTAGAGGTGCAGTTAAGTCATATGCATTAAAGAGGGAAAAAATCTACAGCTCAAGAAAAATGATAACAAAATAATAATTATCAGGCGTGACGAGGACTGTCCATTTTACATAAGACTTAGTAAAAGGGAAGCCATCCAATTCTGGAAGTTGGTGAGCCTAAACTGATGATCACACTTGTCAATGAACTACAAAGAATAAGCAAGCTAAAACATAATGGCTAGCTAAGAAGTTTATATAAGTTCTAAGACATACAACTGAAATGAGGCTAGATGGGATTGATTGTAGAGGCACTTGAAAAGTAGGGTGTGAAGTTGTCCTCGACTTAAGCATATAGGGCCAAAACAAGAGCATTGGAACTATACAAGGTTTTGATACTGAATAATACTCTTATTTGAGGAATTATTTTGAAGAGCGGAGAAAATCTAATCCTAGTAGTACATTGATAATAAATTGTGGCATGTCAGATACTGGACCAATTTTTTAAAGAATATATGTATGTATTGATGCATGTAATATGAATTTGCATATACATGTAGGCCTTTAATTGGTCTTGCTGCATGTTTCTTGGAGGGCAAGTGTTGTACCCCAAAATTTTCCCTCTCATTTATCAAGATTTTCTCACAAGATCTCTTTGACTAAAGACTGGATTAGGGTTTGATTAGCTCAAGACATCTCATCTTACACTGATCACACAAAATTAGGGTTTGAGTTTGCACAAGGGTTTTTTTTGGACTATAAATACCTCACATGAATTTCAAGGATCTTTATGGACTCCTAAGATTACTCATGACAAGTTTCAAACCTTGAATCATATTTTTGATCAGTCAATTGGACAATTGACCTAAAAATCAGTTGTATTGGGGAAAAAGTCAACCATGGCCAATTTGCAGTCAAACTTCATAATTTTTTATCCACATCAATATTTTAGACTCATATGTATCATTTGATCAATTTTGGACCACAATTCCTCAAGAAATTTGATCAAATCATCGAAAGGGCAAAATGGTCAAAATTAGGGTTTTGATTGGGAAAGGGAAATTTCTGATTTTTTGACCTAGAAAATGACCAATTGATTTGAAGCATGGTTTCAAGGGTTCAATTGCATCATCATGACCTAATGACATGGTTCAAAACATTGCAAATCCATTGGATTGACAGATGAAATTTGCAGTCAACTGATCAAAAGTCAACTGTATACTGAAAAGTCAAACTTTGACCTTTTGGTCAAAATCAAGTGCCAAGGATCACAGTTCATCAAAACATGTCAAAATGTGAAACATGTTCATCAAGGAATCAAAGATTGAAGATTTGATTTTGAAATTTGAATTTTTTTTAACTTAGAAATTTTTCTAAGTATAGAAAATTTCTTATTTTTCTCAACTTTAGGCCAATTTTCCACCATGATACAAGATGGTTAAAAGAAAGTTCTCAACATGAAAGTTATAGACCCCCATGAAATATACAACTTTGCATCACACATTTTTCCCTAAAGATGCTTGGATCTCAAGATATAATTTTATGAACACACGCCCATGAACTAAAATAACTTTGTGAAATTTTGCCCTAATTTAGGCAGGATTTTGACCTAACTTCATGGCAATTTTCACCTAGTTCCAAGAGGTATCTTGAATTCATTTCAAATATGAGTTATAGAGCACATTCCAAGCTTTCCAAAATGTCCAAGAACTCCTTGATATCATGTTTGAGTAAGTAGAATCGAAGAGATGAAGTTGGCAGTTTCTCACTTTGATTTCAAGCCATGTCAGGAAGAACAAAATTCAAATCTAAACCTATGGTGCCTAATTATTGCTTTAAAGGTCTCAAACTTGTTTCTTACTTTATAATTTAATGCTTACTGTTGCACCCCAAAATTTGCCCTCCCATATTCATCAAGATTTGTCAAGTCAAGGTCACAAAATTCCCCAAGGGTTGTGCAGCTCAACTGTCTCCTAGACAGTCAAAACTAGGGTTTGAGTTCTGGTCAAGCAAATGAACTTTTCAAAGGCCTAATCAAGTCTCATATGCTTACAAAGATGGTCAAGTACCCTCATATCAAGTTTCAAGGCATTCAGCTCAAAATTGCACAGTCAAAACCCTAGATTGCACTACAGTCAACTGTAGGGGCAAAATGGTCATTTGGCAGTCAAAAGTTCAAATTTTTGGTCAATATATCATTTTGAAGCCACAAACATCATTTGATCAATGCTTGATCATGATTTGGCTCAGAAATCATCAAAGATGCAAAAGTTGCTATATTTGGACAGCTGAAAAAGTCAACTGAAATTGACCAGGGCATAACTTTCACATGGATTATCAGAAAAATTCCATCCAAAGCTCATTTTGAAGAGAAAGACATTTCCTACAATTCATCTTCATGTTCCAAGTCCAAGAAATGCTCTCACAAAAAGTTATCAATTTCAACATTATAGGTCATTTTCAAAAGTCAACAAAAAGTGACTTTAAGTCAAAGGCCATAACTTGAGATTGGTAAATCAAAATGACATGGGACCAAGGGCATTGGTTAAAGGACTCAAAGACCTTTCCAAAATGTCCAAGAACATGTGAAAAGCTTAAAAATTGACCAAGTTATGCCTTGTGGAAGTTGGGAAATTTTTAGGAATTTTGAAAAGTCAACAATGGTTCAAAAGGGCTAAAAATGCAAATGGGCCCATTTTTCTTCCAAATTTCCTCATGCCAAGCCTATGCACGACCACTAGGCCCAAAGGGGAGTATTTTCATATTTTTTAATTATTTATTTGAATTTATATTAATTTATATTCATTTAAATCATTTTAATACATGAAAAATATAAACCTAACCTAAAAAAATCTTTTTATGCACATTATAGGCTCAATATCTCGTGCTTAATTAATTATGGAAGGTTTTGGGTTGATTGGAACTAATTGACACCAAATTGCACATGATAAGATTCAAAAAGATCCTTAAGCAAATCAAATCTTCAATCAAAGATTACAAGGGATTTTATGCAATATTTTTGACCTAGCATGTTCCATACAAGTACTAGAACAAGACCTAATGCCAAGGAGACTGGAAGCTGCGCCCAAAGACCCTTCACAAACTTGAGAAATTTCTCCAAAAATCCAAAACTGAAATCAATTCTAGGAGGCGATTCAAAGCGCAAATCTGATTCCAATAGTTTCCTGAAGGTTTACTGGACACATTCCAATCAATAACAACAACTAACACCTCAAGAATTGGTATAACGACTCAAAACTGCACAGAGGAAAACTTGAAATCTTGCATCATAATTTAAGCATTTTTGCAGCATTCTTTTTATTGATTCTTATTCCTTATGAAATTTGTGAACTAACCATCATAATTAATTGAGTTTTTGTGGCATAAACATGATTTCACCATGAACGATATTAGGGTTTGGCAGGTTTCAAAATTAGGGGTTTCTTAATCAAGAAAAATCAGAGCCCAAGATGACCATGGCTGGATTCAGCACATCAAGACGAAGAAGTCTTGACCCTCGCGCCCAATTTATATACATCATAGCGCTAGTCGCTATTTTTCCGTTGCCTGCCTAAAACCACGCCCAGAAACCGTTGCAATAGGACTTTGTTTTCAGAAAAAAGAGAAAGGCGTGAGGAAGATGATGAGTTGTCAGCCGGTGGTTCGTTAGTTCAAATTTGCGCGCGTTTTAGTTAGTGGGCGTTGGTTTTGCTTTTTCATTATTTGTTTATAATAATATACCAATTAACGCGTTTGGTTCAGTGGTTAAGTGTTGTGCTTGTGACCTTCAAGACCTGGGTTCAAGTCCCAGGTCTGGCAAATGCTTAATATTATTTTTCAATAATTGATCCCATGCAGCATAAGCGTTGAGGCGCACCATATGTGTCAAGATCCAAAAGTCCACGTGCCTAATGAATGCAGATCAATGGCTCCAGTGCAAAGAACATACCATACGCCAGTCAATGTATTACACCTGATCCAAAAAGTCAACCAATTTCCAGCTTATTGGGCCAGGCCTCTCAAATTTATACCTCCTTATTTGGGGCAACACCCCACTCTGGTTTGCTTTTCTTTTCTTTTTATTATTTTAATTATTGTATTATTTGTTTTTATTGCTTTAATTAGTTAATTTTCTTTTTTTTACAAAATATAAAAAAACATCATAAAAATCCAGAAAAAGATAAAAATGTAATAAATATTTTATTTTAATTATTTTATTTTCATGAATAAATTGTGAAATTGAATTTAGCATAATTAGGTTTTTTTATTATTTTTAATTCTTTTCATAACAAAATATAAAAAATTATAGAATTTAGGTTTAATTGTTGATCTTAATCCTTTTTAATTTTCCCCTTTTTGTAATAATATTGCTTATTTTATTTATTATTTTCATGAGTAAATTGTACATAAAAATTAATTTAGGTTAAATTAGTCAAATTTCAATATTTTCTTAATAATTAATAAATAATTAGAATTAGGGTTTTACCTCCACTCTTTTAGCTTTAATTAATTCTTTTTTTTCTTTTAATAAATAAAAAACATAAAAATCTAAAAAACATTTTCTTTTTGAATTTCAATTCTAATTCGCTATTTAATTCTAATTAATTAACTCTTGTAATTTAATTTTTGTAAAAGGGTCCAACGCCCTAGTTTTGTTTTAATTATTTTCTTTTGCGCATGATTTATTTTTATCGTTCATTATAATTTTGTATCTCTCCCAAAGCCATGTAACTTTACTTTTCGCACTTTATTTTTCGCTTTATTTATTTTCCGCTAAATCGGGTCCGG